CTTTTCATTGGTATCAGAATTCGTAATACGCGCGACCACTCATTGAAGTGCTTCAGAAAATCGAAAAGGCTAGACGTGCTTTCTTTCGTAACAGCTGATTAAACTACATGACACTTATTTTACATTACGCGACAAAGTGAAACAAAGGGACTCTAATCATGCAGATACCTAGGCCTATGGCTCAAACACACATTCCGTTATAAAATGAACGGATATGTGGTATATCGATAATGTATATTGATATATAACGTATATGGAGTGTCAAAATCACGTACACACATCAAGAAACACGGTGCGACGCCAAAACAGAACCAGAACATGGCCGCAGATAACTTAAGCTAAGTTATGCAAGATTTCTAACACGAGTCGATATTTGGAGATGGGGGATTGCACTTGAATTCGATCGGACTGTTTTTTGTCGTTACGCAAGGCATACTTCGAATGATAGTTTATGGGCAGCAGCCTCAGTGATATCATGCGCCTAGAAGCCTCTGGAACGCTGTGACATGTCATAACATGACAGAAGCTATGTCATGACATTGCCTCGTTGCTGCAAAAACTGGCTGGATTTCACGGAATGCAAATTGAATATTTCTGGGATCTTCACTCAGCTGTCATTCAGACGAAATAACCGACGACGACAGCCGTACCATTTGTTTTATTCTGTCTATGGGGTAACTTCTGTAGAGTAAAAATAAACAGAACGGGAAAATGAAGCCCCTTCACCGCCGGCTGAGCCACTCCTGTTGTCACGTGGCGCCTATTTGGATGTCACGGTCCAAACCACGTGACCTGGCGATGCTGGTGGCCATTTGCGCCGCCGGCGCCGCCCCGCCCGTCACCGGGTCCGATCGGGTTCATCGACTCGGTGCCGGCCCTGATTGGACATTTCCTGAATCGCTGACCTCCGGATGACCAGAGGCTGGGGATGGGGTGCCAGTGGGCCCGCGGCGTGCGCAGCCGGACCAGCCGCCGGCACGGACAGATGTGGAGAGACCGGCCTGGCGAGATGAGATTGGAAGGCTGCCTGTCGTGGGTTTGACCACCGGAAACCGTACGGGAGTTTGGTCTGGAGTATTAGAGGAGACTTCGGCCGTCCCTGGCCGGCGGGGCCACGCGCGGTGACAGGGCGGCGGTTTAGCCGTGCGACCGCACTGGGATGATCTGCCCTGGCGCCCTTTGACCCAGCTATCGACGCCGCGGCGGCCGGCTGACCCGGAGCAAACAGAGCAAACGTCAAGAGGCCATCGACGCTATCAGTCGATTCGGACAAACAGCACGCAGCGCGGACGACACTCCGGGGCGCTACCCCTCCCCTGAGGGTCCGCCACTGGCCTGGCGCGAGACAAAGGCTCTGTGAGTCAGGCTGAGGAGCCAGCCCCGTCCGCAGCCCAGCTGCACACTCGGCGGGGCGCGCGGGCGTCTGGAACCGGTTGGAACAGACAGCTGACCACTGTCTAGCTGCCCGCAGAGACTGAACGCCGGGGGACCAACGGTGTCCTCTCGAGCGTGCGCTCCCCTTGATATTCTTTTTTGTCCGGGATCCCATGTCGCTCGGACCCGCCTGTGGCTTAGTAGAATAATTCGGAAAATTTCCGGCTCCTGGCTGAATTTAGAAAAGTTTAACTTCATGCGAATCAGAAAAGAAAACATGCTGAGCATTTGGTATGGTGTAAAATTATAGCCTCAACAATCAAGATGCCAGGTGCCTGATTTAGTAACATGTAGGCTTGCAGGGAAGTTAATACCGATTCGAGAACTGCCAAAATTTAAGGTACCTTGGATGTGCGGTCATAGAAAGACCTTGCACTGAAATAATTACTTTTATTATATATTTTGTAATATCGCAACCGGCATCTCAAGGCGGGAAGCCGAGTTCCAGAAAGCGCAGTTCAGACTCTGCCAAGACTCGTGCTGGAACTGGTTATGGGGACTCAGAAGATGCTCACCAAATCTTGCCAAACAAGTGATGATACAGCGCACTGGTAAATCGAATTCAGCGGCACAGAACTTATCATTATGTATGGATTAAGAATGATGGCTGATTCGCTCGGACAGCACATCTGCATCTCACATTCGTGAGAGTTTTTCCAGTAAGGCTGCAAGGCACGTGGCTTGAGGATGTTTTGGGGACATATTACGGTGAAAGTTGGGCAAAGGGGTTATGTGTTTTGCTCTCCTGCAAACAAGTGCTGTCTTGGCTTAGACAAACTATACCATGCAACGGTGGCAAAGAGGTTCGTTGATAGGTAATATGGAACAACGAAGTGGAATCGGCACGGGGTAAACCAGTTTGTCATTGTGCATACGATGCCGCGGCTCAAAGCTTATTGGTCATTTCTTTCATTTCAATGGCTGCTTAGTAGTTTGTCAGGAATTCATGCGCAATTACTGTCCAAAACAGACTAATCCTTTAACTTACATGGGATGGTGCCGTGTCATTACTTAAATATGGAAAACAATTTGATAGTTGCTACTGTTGGCGCTTCACTGAGGAAGACAAAGTGGCACAGATCCGCTATCACGTGACTAGTAAATTGGGCACATTGATTAGCAAAGGAACTCGCTAATTGTTTGTACATTTGCAATTTGTCCAGACTGCGGCTCAGAGGCGGTCGGAGGCAGACGGGATTTGGCTTTGGTGGCGGATGACCAGGACTACGCCCTTCTTTTTTCAGAAACGGAATCAACCTGCCCGCGGAGCCCTCATTATACGATAGCTAACAGATAATTTCCAATCAAAGGTTACTAGTTCCTTAGGCAAGTTCCGTTGGACCGGTTTTGTGACTAACACAACGTAGTAGACACCTTTGAACATTGCTTTCGGTCACGCCCACGGCTTTGAGATTTGCATACCCTAGTGTGATTCTAGTCCGTATCTTAATCCTCCATGTGCGTGTTGTAGAAATATATGTCATGAATTGTACAAACTTATAATGATCTAATATCATAAACTCGGTAACAACATCCAGTCTTCCGTAAGTTAGGAGTAAATAGTTGGAAGGGTTTTTGTGAAGAGAACTGCTTGGCTCAAGCTGTTTATTGGGAAACTAAAAGTTGTTGTAAAAGTTGTCACAAAATGCAAGCACGCCTTCCTGTGCACTTAGACAAACGCCAGCTGATGTGGATGCTCTCCAAGTCGTTACACCGCCTGGACGCGGCGTTAATGCGGGCAATCTTCGAGTGGTCACGATAAGTGACATACATAAACACTTCTAAGCATTTGCAGCTCTCTCTCCGCCTGCGTCGCACCCTCAGAGCGCACACAGGGCATGTCTCAGACGTGTCACGTAAACACCCGCACGCCGCGCAGAGCCGGGGGGCAGGGCGCCCCGGCGGGCAGACAGGACGGCAGCGCGCGGCGCGCAGGCTTTCCCAGAACTTCTGGCAAGCGCCGTCACATGCATGTAATGCTGAAGTGATATTGAAACATGTTGCTGACCTTTGTAATACATGCAATGGCGATGACTAAGCGAAATGAATAACGTAATATTTGTTTTTGACACGCTGTTGTTCATTTCCGACATGAACGTGAGTATTGTGATGTGAGCTCAAACATGTGAGCATCGGCATGAGCCAAATATTGCAAAAGTGGTCATGACAATGTGCCGTTATATCAAGAATCTATGTTCCTTATTTTCGCGAGATCACGTGCGCTTGCAGGTGGATTCCCACAACCTCCGTCCACTTAAACAGTTCCTTGTAGCAGCCTCAAAAAAACAAATAACCGATTTTCTCACGAAATGGTGATCTGCTGACGACTTACGACGCGTCAATTTGCTTTCAATTGGTGATAGTGGGCCCGCAGGCCGGGCGCCTCCTGCGTGCCACGAGAAACGGGACTGACACTGGCGAACAGCCGTAGCTCTCACGGACACTGGGCACGCCAGCGCCTAAGATCGCTGACACTGGTTTTGATTAGCCGCATGTGCCAGGTAACCAAGTCACCATTTTTTGGAACGAGTATGACTCATGACGTGCGCATCGGGGCGCCGACCCAGCGTTCCTGGAATAATGAACGCCACCGCATGGCGCCTCCGCTTACAGGGGGCTTCCCCCACGTCAGCATTGCTAATACTTTGCAACCGTCGGCATGCAAAGCTCACAGGGCCTCCTCCCCCCTGCCATGCGGCATAGCTGTGTCGTATCGTCACCGTCAGAAGCTTAGGGTTGTCAGATCATGAGACTGGATTAGGGGAAGACGGGTGATCACAGAGAATGAAATCAATCTGCGTTTTAAAGGGATGAGAAATGAAAGTGAGTACCAAATCTTAAAATTGACCTGCCAAAGATGCCTCCAATTCCATCATGCTGCAGTCAAACGGCCGTCATTCATTTTCAAACTATCTTAAGCTTCCAATAAAAGGCTTGCCAGCAAATCCACGTCATTTCAATGAAATTCTGCTGCTGAATAACTACAGTCTGTTTTGTTGCACGATGGGACAGGGCATAACGATCTTTTATGTAACACAAGTTAAAATGAAAACATCGCATGCTCACCGCATGGTTATTCTAGTGTACATATTGAACAAGCAAGCAATAAAGACCGTTTCTTTTCTTTTTTCTTTCGTTTGTTTATGACAAAAGAGCTTGATGCCTGTACCTTTCCCTAGATTTCGATGCAGTTTGATATAAGGTCTAGGAGTGACATCCCGCAATTTACAAAATGTCTGAATTAAGCGTTTGTAGCTTCAAATAATAAACTAGCCACGATGGTCGGCTTCAGTTACGATGTAATGCATATGCAATGGATTTACGTGCACTCCTCGCCTGAAAGAAGCTATGAGCAAACCAATAAATACAAAATAATGTCGGACCCAGAGTATGCCGAAAAGCGGGCTGGAAAAATCCCTCACTCGAAAAGGCATATCACCAATGAAGACACAGGCAGCAGCGCAAGCATGCAACTCAACAACGGGAGCTGGCCCTCGGCCTGTCATTGGTCAGCACCAGCATGGTGTGTTGGAGCGTGCTGGACCGGCCAGGTGAAGAGCCTTTACCTGCGAGCGCTCCCGCAGCCAGGAAGGCCACGAGGAGGGCCGAGGGCCGGCGCATGTTGGCTCAGTCGGTATCGCGTCGACTCTAGCCGCGGACCGGAGCACCACTACGGCGACGCCGGCCGGCCGCCGGCTTATGTACCCGGCCCGGGAACGAAGTCCGCCGGCGGCCGCTATCGCTGAAGCTGTGCTAGCCAGCCACACCATCACCAGGCAGGTATCAGCGACTGCTGACCTGAGGTCACCACCGGGCCACAACTGGGTACTGGCAAAAGACGCCATCCAGCCAATGGGTCGATGGTGTGGGTGCAGGTGACAGCAGTACTAGCAGGCACTGTTATGAGCCGCTGTGCTGTACTGTACAGTGCTGTACTTTACTATACTGTAGCGTACTGTACTGTGCTCTCCTGCACTGTGCTGTGCTGTACTATACTGTACTGTACTGAACTGTGCTGTATTGTGCTGTACTGTACTATACTGTACATTTCTGTGCTGTACTGTGCCGCACCGTGCTATACAGTACTGTACTGTACCGTGCTGTACTATACTGTACTGTACTATTTTGTGCTGTACTGCACCTTACTGTCACGGGATACTGACATAGACCAGAGGTCAGGTCACAGCGCAGGTATTAACACAAGTTGCTGATCAGACCCTAGCCGAAGTGGTACAAGACGGGTCTTAACTCCGAATGCTGACCTGAGTTTTGGGCCAGGTACTAGATGAGTTTCACGCACAGATGACCTGGCCCTATGTCAGGTCACCAGATAGGCAAACCGTGGACAGCCGCAGTCCTGCCACAGGCGAGCGGCATCAGTAGAGCCTCGCCGTACGTGACAGGCATCGGCAGAGCCACCACTTTCATCAGACAAGGGTTAGCCACGTGCGGCTGTTGTCTGCTGGGCCTGGACACACGCTGCTGGCATCAGCTGCATAGCACATAACACACACACACACACACACACACACACACACACACACACACACACACACACACACGCACACACACGCGCACACACACACACACACACACACACACACACACACACACACACACACACACACACACCACACACACACACACACACACACACACACACCACACACACACACACACACACACACCACACACACCACACACACACACACACCACACACACACACACACACACACACACACACACACACACACACACACACACACACACACACACACACACACACACACACACACACACACACACGACACACAACACACACACACACACACAACACACACACACACACACACACACACACACACACACACACACACACACACACACCACAGTATAGTACAGATTCAGCAGTGTCGAGACCCTGAACAAATTTAACACAGACCTGTTGCAGTACTACACATTTCTGTTACGTCGAGCAGTGTATAATCTTTAGGCCAGGTATTTAGGCCCGCAGGTCTATTTAGACTCTAAGGTCTATTTTCAGAGCTGGCGACGTCAACCTGGGCCATTTTCCATCACAGAAATGCTTCCTCGGAAGGCATGGGTGGTCCACGTCTTTTTGGCCGCAGGGATGTACTTAACCTAACTCAGTCTAGCACTCGAGAGCTTCTTAGCTTAATGTGCCCAATTTTGCTCGCATTCTGACCGTTGATACAGCATATTTAAAAAGTTTAGTGCTTGGTTTGTTCATTAAACTGTTATTAAATTTAGCTGGCGGTGCAAACAAACCAGGTGTAAATATCACTGGAGTGTTCTACTTTGGTAAGCGCAACGCTACAAACGGTGAACACATGCTTTCACTGATCGCTGAACATCCGTCTACCTAGGAAGGCCAGTAGGAAAAGAACATTTAAACTATTCCGAAAATATGACATGCACGCTGCATTACCGCCATAGTGCACTAAGCCTCAAATGGAAGAACAAATCGAGCACACAAATCTGAAAATCGATCCGCAATGATGAAGCGGTTTAAAAATCATTATCATTGCAGCATATATTTGGTGCTTATTTATTGCGAGTAGATGGAAACACCTTCGACTAGTTCGTGTGAAACCTCCAAAGCACATAAATCTCGGCACCTCTTGGTAGGTGACATTGTTTCCAGCTGGCACTTCACATCGTTGTCAGTTGCCTTCCGGTCCAGTCGACTGAAACATCCAAAGCAGATCAGAGAAGGCTGGAAGCCGTCGCTCACCTTACCGTCACCTCAGCACCGAGATTGGTGCCGTTAACGGGAACATCGAGCTGTTTTGAGTAAGGAATGCAGAGAAATATATTCATAAAATGTGGAGCACAATCCGTAAGCGAAAGCCTCGATGTGCCGACGTCGCGAGCAAGGAAGAACAAAGTGGGTTGCGTTTGTCTGGTTGTGGTTACAGTCAGAAAAATGCAGTACACTTCGTGCTTACAAATTCCAGTGTATGGAGTCGAATTTTCCAATTTGATAGAGATGGCCAACTAAGTCAGAAAGCCTAGCCTGAAGCTGCTGAGCAGACTGGCGCCAAGCTTCGTGTCTGAGTGATGACAGGCTGATGTATCGGGTGGCCGCGGCTGCCGAGAGTCTGCCTCCTATGAACTGTCTGAGTGATGACAGGCTGATGTATCGGGTGTCTGAGTGATGACAGGCTGATGTATCGGGTGGTCGCGGCTGCCGAGAGTCTGCCTCCTATAAACTGTCTGAGTGATGACAGGCTGATGTATCGGGTGGTCGCGACTGCCGAGGGTCTGCCTCCTATGAACTGGTTGTGGCGGGAAAGATTCCTATTGGTCTGGATAGCTTGTTCCATATTCGTGTGAAAGCTGGCATCAATATAGATGAAAGGAAAATCATATCTGTGCGGTGGGTTGTTAAGGGTTTGATTTCACCACGTCATCTCTGTTCTTTTTCTGCAGGTGGGTGTTTGGAAGTGTCGCCGTTTCTGCTTTTGTGATACGGGCTGAATTTGGGCAATTCACGCCTTACCGATAAAGTTGGCTAACTAAGGAGCCTCTTCGTCGGCTGCCGAGGTGCGGAAAGGTAGCCTCGTGGTCAGTATTGCCGCCTTATGTTGCGCCGTTTTAACTCGATAAGCGTCACGCATGCTGGCATGTTGTACATCACGTCAAAGCAGTAGAAAATAGTTATGACGTGTGTCTAGCACATTTCATTGAACAGTCTTCAGACAATGCACTTTTCCATCGTACAGGCGGGGCCCGTTGCTTGGTTTATGTTTTAAATAGTTTCATTACCGGAAATAAAAACGCGAGAGCTGCAAAGGAATCTGGAAATGAAAACTGAACTGTAAGGTCTAATAATAAGTTAACGCCCACTGTTAATGAGATGAGGCGACAGAGACACGTTGGCTAACAAACATCATATGGTGCTAAGCTATGTTAAGTTTGAGTGTGAATGTTTGCTGTATTGCTTTTTTGCGTTGAATGACAACCCAGAGGTTTCCGCAATGTAATATTCCGTCGAGATCTCTCTACTCTACGACCACTAATATAGGGCAGGTGGGTTGCTGTTACCAACGAGTGGTTTATGGAGCAATCTACCACCTGCGAATACGGTCCGCCACCGACATGCCCTGCATTATGCATGGCTGCATTTGTTCTCACGGTCTTTGCGTCTAACCCATGTCCAAAACACATTAACAAAGGTTATTTTGAGCTTGTCAGGCCTGTGAAATGACGGCCAGGCTGTGACCAGCGTGCGCAATCAAGTGCACTTGTCATCCATCCTCCTGTCGGGCGCCTGAGAGCCGGCCAGCATTGGGTGCTTGACCCGGTCACAGTTCAGTCGAAAGCCTGCTGACACACCCGAAGCTGAGAGGCACGGCCGGTCCAACGCTGTGCACCTCTGGCGTACTGTGAACGCGGTGGCGCAGTTCACGTCGTGACAATCAGCGCGCGTCTGCATTATCTGGCGCTGGGTTTGCTGCGCCAGCTTCCTTCGGCTGTCACAAGGAGCGTGCATCCAAGCTGTGATTTCGTATCAAGTGTTCCCAGGAACGCTTGTAAACTGTGCCGCTCCACTTCCGAGAGGTACTAGTTCCTGAAATTGTTTGCTCCCTGGTCCCCAAAACGTATTCGATATCTTAAAAATATGCTCACCTGGCGACACCCACAAGGATAGGCTACTGCGACGACTGTTACGCCTGGCGACACCCACAAGGATAGGCTACTGCAACGACTGTTACGCCCTTTCCGAAATCTGAGGTTATCGTGCACGCGCGAATGCTGGAGGCCGTACGGAATGGCAGTCCTGTTTCCTATTCCCATGCAGTGGCACCTGATAAGACGAGGCGCTTTGAGGCGACCTGTGCCTAAAGAGCTCGTTAGGGCACTCAATAGCCTTGAGCAGGCCATATGCCGCACCATGCTTCAACACCTTCAATATAGTCGATAGTTGGACACAAATTGGCTCGCTACAGTTTATGTAGTTTAAGCAATGACAACCACCCAGACAAAGGTATTTCCAGCTTTTTCGGCTCGAGATCGTGATATATATATATATATATATATATATATATATATACCACCTCTGTTATGTAAATGCAGTGTCATGCAAGACGAGCGAGCCCCACGATGTTTGCAACAGTGGCTTTTTTAGATGCGTGCTTTAGCTTTGGGAATGGGAGTATCACACGATCCATGTCACGCGCTGGTTCAGACTTCAACCACTGCGCTTCTCGGTATCAGGTCCTTGCCCGCTGGGCCAATCACAAATGTTCTTTCGTTCGCACCAGCAGAGGTGCGCACCATTGTTGTCATGACGGCGTTGGTCGCGACTGCAGAGAAAAAAAACGCAGTGCCGTTACAAAGCGGTGACGGCATAATTTAGAATCGAAAATAATTGTTAAAAGTGCATATCCTTATCATGCCTCGACGGTGCCGCAGTGGCGCCGTCCAGCGCTGTTTATAGGCGAGACTGATCCTGAGGTTTCACCAGGGTATGTTTTTGACGTATGCTCTAAGGTTGGGACACACCCTTTAACACGCAAGTGTGGTTGGACAAAAGGGAGAAGGGAGGTTCCCTTCAAAACCGGCGACAAAAGGTCGGATCTTTATTTGACGATAGGCCTGCTGGGATATCAAGAGTGGCAAAGGACACTGTGCAA